TTTTTTACATACAATAAAATCGCGTATTTTTTGTTTTAAATGAACTGTTTATCAGTTTTACCATTAAAAAGCATGGTGCACAATGTTACACAATACGTGCAACATACAGTTTTTTTTCGATAGTTAAATTGGTCACATCCGTTTTATTTAACTAAAATACAAGTATTATGCTCAGTAATCTAAGAATGTACACAAGAACTATATTTTCAGCCTTAAGTCGGAAGAAAACTATGAATATTCAGCCTGAGCAGGAAAAATATACATTCTTATAAGAAGGAAAGAAATACATGAAGGCAAAACGGCTGGATCAGTGACAGAATTGAAAACAAAGAAAATGAAAACTACACATTCGCGAACTGCTTGTATTTGGGAGTCTTCAAAATTGAATTAGATTACAATCTAAATTAGTCACGAAAGAACTTAAAGAGACTGCGCATATGTTGGGCAACAATTCGTAGGCATATTTTACGTCCCAGGATAAAAAAATGTTAAGAAAAGGAATTTTTCCATTGAAGTAAAAGTAACTAGTATCTTGATTTGTCTTTTTTCTTTTTGTTATACTCACTGCTGCTGGAATTTAAGTAAATAAGTAAGTAAGTTTAATTTTTAGGACACCGCTAAACCATTGGTCGAGCGACTGTTCGTAAAGTAAATTTGCTCTTGACTGTGACATATTTTGTTATTTCACTTCATTAGCTCGCATATTATGTTTCTGCAACTCTCCGTCGTGCCCACAAGCTGTTTGTAAATCAAGTCAGCGGTGTTTCACCAAACTATTAAGAAAAGCAAGTGCCGATGGGAAAGTTTCGACCAGCGTTATATACGGTTGCAGTGAGGCGCTGAATTCAAGTGACGTGTGTTTGGAGTCTTCTCCAATGATATGCTGTGATAGGGAGCTGTGTAATATGCCTAACATGTTAAGAAGTAAGTATAGCTCGATAAAAATTGCACCAGTCTGAATCCACTATTATATTCTTTTAAAATACGGAGTTGACATTTGACGGAAGAAAATACCATAAGACTTCTTATAAGCCCTGGGCTTATTCCACTTCGTGGACCTTTAAACCTAGAGGCATTCTAAAAATTCATTTTTCCCAAAATTATTCCAAATAGATAAAAAAAAGTCCTTATTTTTTAACTCCTGAATAACTCCGAACCTGGAATATGCATAAAGAGTCAATAAATAACCCTCAATACTTAATGCATGGTGTTATGTTTTTTCTTCTATCCCAGAGGCCATCAAAACACATCAGCAAAGAACTCAAGTACATGCTACAGAGCATGCGCCAAAAGTTGACGAAAACGGCACCGAGTGTACATTGTCGATGCCTGCGATGCGAGTGGCCAGCGTTGTTGCGCCTAGTGTGTTGATTCTGACGGTGGTCTTCCTATCATTAGGAATGTGTTACAAAATGTCACGCTACGAGAAGATGAGAATCACGAAGATGGAAAACGGTGTTAAAACCAAGTCGCCAAGTGATAAGTTATTCCAAAAAGTACGAGAGTTGAAGGGGTGCGGGTTATTAGAACAAACACAGTTTGAACGATGTTTTGCTGTCATGCATGCTTGCAGAAATGTTTCCAAAATTAATTGACCATGAGCTTCCTGCAAAGATTCTTGGCATTTACAAGGGAGCGTCCACACTATGCTGGAGAAATTTGAAAACGCAGCTTTATTTCTACTGTTAGGTCTACCGTCCACACTAATCCGTCACGGAAACGAAGGCTTCAAACCGGAGGAATTTGAAAACGCCGGCTTTTATGTCCGTGTGGATGAAAAACTTGAAACTGGCGGAGCTTTTCGAAAACGATGGCTTCACGATAATTATGCGATTAATCCCGGGATCAATATTTTCCTGCCCGAGTTTTCCCGCAAACTGACAAATCCAAATATGACCGGTGGCTGTTGCGTTTTTAAATTCCTCCCGCGTAGTGTGGACGGGAAACATTTGATGCGTTTTCAGACTAAACCCTCCGTTTTCAAAGTTCTCTGGAGTAGTGAAGACGGGGCCTAAGGGAGCCACGAAGGAATTTCCGATAACATCAGACGCGTAATACGGAGGAAAACTCAAATACCAGTTTAGAAATAGAAAAAAAAAACAAAAAACGTGCGGGGGCACCTGAAAGGAACAAGGATGGCTAAGATTTTGAAAGATTCAGACGGAACCTTAAAAAAAATTAGAAATCCAGAATGTGCCACGCATGCGCCGAGCAGTAGGTCATAAGAAGTTGCCACATTTTTGCTTTAATAAACTTGCGAAAATTTAACAGTGAAGACCGTCATATGGTCTCCAAATCGTTTGAATCGTCGAAGTCTTCCAAGTTCTAGCTCAAGAAATCTTAGAAGATCTTAAAACGCTGAAATGCGGATTCCCAAACCTCTAGGCTTCCAATTTACTGCCCACCGTGGCAAGATTTTTCCTATTGACCTTTGCGGTTCACTGATTGAAGTCAATTCTGAAGTAGCTGTTAATTACCAAGGACCCAACAAGCGAGAAAACCAAACAATAACGGTAAATTTAGTAAAACGAAACGAGCATTACAAAGAAACACATTAATTTTAAATTCGGCTGAACTGTTTCTACTTTCTGGCGGGTATATTGGGTGAGTTGCGAAAAAAAAAAAAAATTGAAATAATACTGTTAAGTCGGCGAGAAGAGATTCCCTTCGTTCAGTGGTTGTAAAGAGTGTGTACAAGAGTTTTGACCGACCCCCACCTCTCTTAGTTTGTGACACATGCGATCACTACCAAATAAGGTAATGAACACGTGCGAGCGGGATGAGACAATCGGGACCTGACAAAATAGCGAGTGTTCTTTAGTTTGTTGTGAGTTAGAAGTCCTTTCAGTGAGTTGTTGTGCGGTGAATAAACCAGAAAACAAAGAAGAAGCTGTGAGTTCTGTGTACCTTTGGGAGAACGGCTCAAGTGTTTGACAATTTTCGTGATGTATGAACGGAGCTTTGAAAACACCGCCACCAGTGCCTAAGGTAAATAACGTAACGTAATTTTCGGAAGATATTAAACGGTTGCTATTCAATCACTGAAATGCTTAACTCAGCGTTCTTAGTTACAAACGCGCGGTAACTGATGACAATAATATTTTCGTATTAAGAATTTTTACATTTAGGACATTAGATGATTATCAATTCTCGAATAATTTACGCGGTATAGTTACAAACGGATCGCGCAAGGACTTGCTTTGATACATCGGGAATAATGGATTTCCCTTTAGTTTTACCGAAATAATGTATATTTTTTCTAAATGAAACAATCGTTAAATTACTTGAAGTTTAAAAGGAGGATTACAAGCTGACAACTCGCTCAATTAATAACCACAGGATATTTATAGTCCATTTCAGTTTTGCAGTCCTGGCTCTGTTTGACGAGGCTCCCAAGAGTAGAATCAGTTTTTCTAACGGATTATTTTAAAAAGGCTGTATCTACATTAAATTTATGCTTTTAAAGAGAAAACGTAACAATCGTAATGCAAAAATACCTGACGAATCTGCAGAATTCCGCAGTGAGGATTGATTTATTGTTTAGCTCTTATTAACCGAGCTGGAGGTCTGTATGGGAGAATCTTGACCGAGGTCTGTACACACGACAGAGGTCAAGATTCTCCCATACAGACCGACTTAGCTCGGTTAATAAGATGTTTATTATATGGCAAAGAAGAAAACTTTAATTCGTTTAATGTAACTGGTTTATACTAGCTGACATTTTGCTTGCGAACGGCGATGAGCTTAACTTAAACCTGCCGAAATTTGCCCGTCCTCTTTACTTTTGGCACTTCCATAAATGATTGAGAAGAAAATAAAAGAAAATGATGAACATTTTTGTATTTTATGTGTATCAATGTATTTGTTGTGCCTCTTTCCTGACTCTTACATTTTTAATTATTATAATTACGGTCACCCAACTAGTTTAGCTTTTTAGTTATTTTGGGTGTCCCACTACTGTATGTACTGTACTGTTTATTTATATATTTATCATTATAATCTTGTAAATTCTTTTAGTTGTTTACAGTAGTAGAAATAAACTGTTGTTGTTGTTCTCAAACCGGTCTAGATTCCGGCCTAGATGGGAAAATCTAGACCGCGGTCAATATCGATTTCAGCCAATCAAATTCGTGAATTCGGTAGTTCCCAGTCCTTGTGAGACACAGCCATGTATATATTATTTTTCATTACGCCTACGAACGAAATCTTTTATAAATGTTTTTGGGAAGGAAATCGAAATATAAAATATAACAGCTTGTTTTAAGAACATATTTAAGCTCTGTGTTCCCTGCTTCTTTTGACCAAAATCTCTCTCTAATAACCGTTAACACACGCGTTTCGTTATTAAATTTCACTGAGATTTTGTAAACAAATTCAAACCCGTTCACACATTGAAGTTGCTCATCAACACCTTAATTGGAAACCTGTGCAATGAACTGTAAAAAGAGTGGATAGAATGTACCTATCGAACTGATCTCGCTCCCATAAAGACGACTGAAAAATAAGTCTGGGTGCATATAATGTCTAGCTATGTCCTCCATCTTGGCACCAAGCGCTGACATCCTGTGTTAATAACTCGTGACGTCAAATAAAGGTAAGAAAACAAATCAGTGGGAAATATAAATATTTTGCCTTCTCTGTCTATGAATGACTGAGAACGTTTTCTTGCTATTCGGACCGCAGTTAAAATCGACGCTTAACTATGCCCACCGATTCTAACATGTGGAATGTTTTATTCCCTTATTTTTCGAATCTTGCATCAAAGCTAGAAACATTTTAAACATCGCACGTTGCTTTGTAAGATTCACTAAGAAACTTCTTACGGTAATTGTAATTTCATTTTTATATTGAAAAGTTCAGTTTTTGGCAATCAAGTAGGAGAAAACACTTGCCATATTCCTACTGAATAACACATGATAGTTTATTTTCCGTCGACCCAACGAATATAATGTAACCTAAGAAATCTCATTAATGCACGTCAAAAAGATTATTTGACAATTCTATTCACAATTCAACTTCAAAGTGAATATAAAACATGCAATTAGAAATTAGTTTCCATTTGCAAATGCTTCCTAACATGGGAGACTTACGCTTTGATTTTTTTTCATCACGGGTGTCATGAAAAAAATGTTAACGACTTAAATAAAATAAGAAATACTTGAAAGAATATTTTAGATCTAAAACAAAAAAGATAATTTTTGGTTTTTCTCAACAATAGGTCTTTTAAAATTAATTTATGTATGCGCGACCGTGAGGCGGTAAAAACCAGAGTCTTGCCGTCTGTTTTCATTATTGACTATTGGGATCTACGGTTACCAAGTACTTGTGAGATCCACCCCATGACGTCGCAAAACGTCACAAATGGTGAAATATAATTGGTGTAGACTTGTGTTTCCACGTTGTTCTCAATAAGGACACCCGCATAGAGCTTAACTCTCATGCAAATCACACGCTTTGTATAAAACTCTTTCGGACGAACAGATATTAAAGCCAGATTTCTATCCGCGCATTGAAGAACGAAACATTTGTAGCGTTGACGTGAAAGACCGGAACGGTTGGTATATATTTTACTTGTAACATTACGTACCTAATATTTCAATATGCATTCAGAATGAGTAGAATTTCGTGGAAATCGTCCTTAACGAGGGAATGATAAGTGTTTCGTATTTGCAAATTTTATTTAACGTGACAACAGTGCTGTCAAATCAAGTTAAGAGCCGTGTCTATAAAGAAGGGCTGAAAATCGTGCATAAACATGAAATTTGAAAATCATTGAAATCGTCTAACTTTGAATATTCCGACGGACATCCTTAACCGCGTTATTGGTTAAGTAGCCACTTTGCCCTTAACGTGCTTATTTTCAAAATGAAAATTTAACTGAGGAAGAAGGAAAAAAAAGGAATATTTAAAAGGCATTTTTATTGATACTACTCAAGGACTGCACGAGTTAAGATTTAAGCAGAGTAATGCGTGAAATATTATTAGAACGTCACGGAGCAATACGGTATGAAATATATATATCTCAGTGAAATATTGACGGAGAAATAGACAATAATGGAAACTTATTTCATTTTGATGTTTACTATATGTTCATAAATACAAAGAAATACGATAATATTGTCTGGAGCGGCAATTCTTTGTTTTTGATGTTTACGAATATGAATTCTGCAACCTACTAGGGTTCTTTTAATAACGCCTTAAATTGAAATCCAGCACCAAACACTGCTGTTCTAAATTTAAATTTTTTTATGCCGTGAATTCCTTCCCTCACTGCATGTTTCAGTTTTGCAATCATCTTGTTTTGGGCAGCTGCTTGCACCTGTTGTTAAAACTTTCAAAGGCAAAGCGGATTTAACTACAATAGTTACATAATTCAAACAAAGGCAAACTAGGGTTGTTATCATAAGTGATTTATGAAGATTCTGGCATTAAAACAAAGCTAACGGTCTGTCAGTTTGCATTTTTGAAAAAATTTTTTACCTACAACCTTTGTTGTTCTTTTTCACTTTTAGATTCAAGCTCCTTGAAGAATTTAAGAGGCTCAAATTCAAACACAGTCTTCGCGATTTTCGCGGTCATACGGGGAATACTGGAGCCTGGGGCGACGGTCAAGATTTTATCGTTAGGTCTGGGGTTTGGAGTATTTTCTGTTGTCATGGTGATTGCAGTGGCGGTTCACCTGCTGTACTATGGAGAACAGAAATCAAAAGTAAGAGCTGTTTTACAAAGACACAGGAAACCTGCCAACATCGACTACCGTTTAGTTTGAAAGCTGGTCTCCGCACATCTAGATCTCGGGACTGTACATGCACATGTGCTAGTAGCAACATGAGCTAACATGCTTATCAGTATCTCAAAGGAACATGACTATAGTGCAGTGTGATAACTGAGTCACGTCTTAGTTAAGATAAGAAAGAACTATAGTTAACGATTAGCCTGTGAACAGGCTCCCGGTGAGTCCCCGCCCCGATCGCTTTGCTCTCCGAATTCTTCTGTTTCGCGCTCGCCGAAATTTTTTTCCATCCTCCCCGGGAGCCTGTTCGCCGGCTAGTGAAAGATCAACTGCTCGTATTTTCTCCTTAGAACAGTCAGTACATTGTCAGGAAGACAAGTGATGAGAACTAAGAAAACCATCAACTAGGGGATATTAGGGTGTTTAAGCAACCACGATGGCGACGTAGAGAACAACCTCAGCTGAGAAATGAATTTATATTTAGCCTATGAATCTCAAGATACTCTAGAGACATTCAGTTTGTGCATATAACTGTTAGAACTGTCTCAAAACTGAACACTGTGTAAGGGCGTAAAAGGTATTCATATCGTCAAGTGAAGAAATAGAAAATAAAAATACACTGTGTGAGGCTGTCTGTAGTTGCTCTTGTTCTCCAGGCTACGCAGAATTTGATCTTGATCAGTTCACGTTGTTTTGCATAGAACGACAAATGAAATTATCAAAAATTATAACGCTCGAGCACAGCTACTGTTCTGTCGATTAAACCTTTTGTTTTGGGACGTTTTCGCTGTTGTGGCCACTGTGGTTTGCTTCACTAAACCATCAGCACTATTATGAAGAGAAATTTGTTAAGGCTTTCCTGGATAGACGGTTCAATTTGTTGTCTGAATGGACCTTTTAATCGAAGCCATGCTTTTTCGATTCTTTCATTCAAATAAAGAATAATCCGCTCAATTTAACAAGCTAAATTTAGTAAATATGCAAAATTTTATAAGAATCCGTTGGACACTCTTAAAAATATGGATAGCCAGACTTACTCATTTTTACAAAGAAATGTATGTGAGAAGCAATGCGTTGTAAAACATAAAGCTGTAAAATAATATAATCATGGTAAGAAAGTTTACATACACGTTTGGCATTGAGAAAAATATTGTCACTCAACAACGTTACTTCTTAGGACCGACTAAGGGTTCAACCCGGGGGGGGACTCCCATATCAAAAGCACGGGGGTGCTCGTCGAAAATTTTGAAAAGAACCCCTAAGAGGTGCCAAGATCCTGTTTAGTGGGCGTGGCTTGAAATTTTTTTCACCCCTAAGAGATACCAATTCTAAAACAACACTTATAATCTGTCATATTTTTTCGGCTCAAAATCCTAACAGATACCGAAAAGCTCCCGCTGTGGAGTTTGAGGCTTAACACCCTAACAGGTACCAAAACTACTTTTTAACCCCTAAAAGGTACGACGAGCACCCCCCGTCTTTATTATATGGGAACCTCCCCCCCCTCCCAATTTAGCGCGTGCGACTAGTTTTCGCGAAGTGTACGACACGTATTGCTTCTTGTAAATCAAACTTAAAACTTTCTTACGAAGTTGTAGGTTTGATTTGTGGCGCAAAACAATTCGTGTTCATAAACTTGTAGTTTAAGGTCGTCGCATGCAGGAAAGCTGTATCATCGATCTAACAGTCAGTCCTTTCAAAAATGTAAAGGAATTCCACGGAAAAACTTTGAAGTTATTTACATGAGGTCATATAAACGCGGTTAGAAGGTAACTTCGGACGGCGATTCACATTCCGATTAAATTTTTTATCAGGAATTTCTCCTGATTTTATTATGAAAAAGACAACAGTGGCTTACATACGTAGCTGGGAGAATCAGAAGTACTCAAACCCTAAAGAACACGCTACAGAAATCTCGTCCTGGCTTGAGACAACTTGCCAGACTTGCTTGTTTCAACCTATGTGAATGCCGTGGTTTTTCTAGTTCTCACAGCTGACAAAGATGAACTTGTCGTCCTGTTTCTGCTGCAAAACGCGCAGTAACCATGATTGGTTCCATCCAATATGAAAAATGTTTGGACTTGTTACAAAAATATTCAATGTTAGCAAGAAGCAAGAACTAATGCAGCTTCCTTTCACAGTCTGCCATGGCTTCTAACCATGAGGCAGGAAAAGTCGGTTTGAAAACCCTGAGATCCGCCAGTTTTCAACTCAGGTTAGGTTCTCAGAATATTCCCTTGTTTTACGTCTTAACTCCATGAAGAATATTTTTACCAATCCAGTGGCAGAATAGTTATCGTTTTTGTGATCTTTACTTTTCATTTCGATGATGTTTCAAGACGCAAGCTCAAGGCTAAACTTCAGTCAATTCTCTTAAGCTTGATAAGTGCAAAACCGCTTTATGTTTAGACTCAGCAAAGCAATTCAATAGTTTCTCCTTTCAGCCATGTTCACTGCGAAATAGCACGTTTTGGAAAGTGGCGTTTCAATTGCTCTAGGATTATCCCTCGCGGCAACGTAATGTTTGATGATTCCCGCTGTCAGACTAAACTGCAGTCGGTGTTTGCAACTCTACTTTTCTTTTGTAAAACAGCTCTCACTGTCGAGTCTTTTTCTTCAAAATAGAGTAGATGAATTGCCACTGCAATCACCATGACAACAGAGAAGACTCCACACGCCAGAACCAATGACAAAATCTTAACAGTCGCCTCAGACTCCAGTGTTCCAAGGTTTATTGGGAGAGACTGGTCTCAAATAAACGCAAATGTCCCGTCAGCGTCCTGCGTGTAGGAAATAAAAATGAATCATTAAAACGGTGACAACGAAGGTCAAAATGCATACTGTGTTTCCTTTTCTCGCGATATTGTATAAGTTATGAATTATGTACGAGAAAATCTTGAATGTGAACATTGTTTGATTTGTATGTGACTTCAAAGTCTTCAAATTAGAATGTTGAATTTGTTTTACACAAAGAACGTCAAAATCTGCGGAAGAAGCAGTTGTAATTATAATTATATCATTCAACATATCGTGTATTAACGAGAAATTTGAGAAATTCAAATTTACAAAAGACAGGGCTGAATACCAGCTAAATTCTGCTTGAAGTGTCACTGGAAAGAATTTCCTTTTACTCCTAAAATAGCGCAATTGTCTTTTAATAACAATATTGCGTGCAACCTGTTATTGCTAACAAAGTAAACACAAAAGAAATATGTGTTCATGATTTTCTATAACCTTGCGCGATGCAAATTTATTTCTGACACATTTCTGTTCTGAAAGTTCTAGCACTTTTTAGTGTATATGTTAATGTCGATCGCTTTCAAGATTTTTATGACTAAAAATGTGACAAACATGTAAATATTCCTTTTAGCTATAACCTATTTCAGTTTCGTTCCAAACGTTTGCCACTTGACGTATCGAAAAGACTTCAAAATTAAAAATGAAATGGGTAGAAATGATGTTGAATAATATTCTTGGCAAAATTGGTCAATACACAATCTCTCGCGATCGTTACAATTGGAAAACACCGTCAGGCAAACAGTACCATGATATTTAGGAGTTATTTACTAGTCTCAGCATACTACGAAATACTAGAAATTCATAAAAGAGAATTAAAAATATAGAGAAATCTGTGGGTACGGAGAATTTTAAAAATACTTCTGATCAAATAACATGAGTAAGGAACAGTCAACCAGTTTAAGATGGCGGCTTTAACACGTATTTGGTACACAAATCTCAGTTTCAGTGTAATAGGTAAGGCTTTAATATTTTAATTTCCTCATGCTTTTTTTAATCTGAATTTCGTGAACAAGATCGGCGTCAAAAGCTGAAAAATGAGTTACTCAAAGATTTTCTAAGGGGATTCATTTTGTATCACTCCATTCAATTCGAAAAACGCAACTTAATTTTATATTTCTCGTAAATACAGTTTGAACTGACCCACCTTTCTTTCTTTTATACGGCGATGGCTCGATTTTGAAATGTTTTTCAGAGTAGTACGAACCTTCTTCTTTCTTCTCTTTCGCAATCCCTATTATAATTTATAAAAGGCCAAGAATTTAAGGTTGATTTTACAAAATACCGCCTCAGTGTTTAAAGTGCGGTCACTCTCTGCCGCTACCCTCGAAAAGAAAACCTCCGGATGCAATAACGCCAAATAATCCGCCTTTTGCAATAGCTAGCTTTTTATGACGTCAAGGCTGAGTGTTATTTATTAAGATGCCCAGAGGTACCATGTTAAGTCTGAATGCACAGGGAAGCCACTTCAAGCTCTACGTTTATGTCAATGCTTCCATGATGCTAGCTCAATTTCTTTCATGAACCTCTCATGTACTCTATGTTTAAATTTGTATCAGACATTAAAGAGACCTACAGCTCTGTAGCGAGATCAGAGCCCTAAGGACACGAGATAAAGAAATTAAAAAGTTAATGTTAGTTATTGTGGTTTCGGCGAAAACTGAATTTACTACTGAAAGTAGCGTGCCACGTGATCACCACTGCTAAAAACTTGAGAATTCTAAGATTCATGCACTTAAAAGGATTTAGTCTACGAGGTGTTAGTTTAGTCTTGCTGAGAGGAGAAGAAATGCGGTTTCCTTCATGATCCGAAAAATATTGCTTTTTTTTTCTTTTTAAGAGGAATCAATTAAAGAGATTTGTATCAGGAAAAAAATCAATTTAAAAGCTTTTCACCCGGATTGAAGTTATTGCTGAAGGCGCCGCCATCGCACAATATTATTGCGAAATAAATTATTTTATCCCTGTGCTACTGCTTATTTTTTTAATGGTACGGTAGAACATTTTAAATCACCTTAAAATTGAATACAATAAAGAAATATTATCCAGTTGCCCATACCGAAACTAAAATTAATTTATTAATATCGCCCGACCTGTTTTAGGTAATGGTCTTAGAAGATAGAAATTTTCAAGTTGATTTTCTGAAATCAAAGACGAGCAATTCATTAGATATCTTTTACTGAGTACTTTTCGTATTTTTGTCGTCCAAGGGCTGAACTCAGTGCAAGAATAGTTTATTCTTAGGAGAAAAAGTCCATTGTGAATATTTTTACGTGTGAAACACCGGACGAGATGCCAACTGCATGTGTATTCCAATGTTTGATTTTCTTGCACTTGTGCAAAGATTTGTCTCAGAGATAGAGAAAATGATTCCCCTCTTGACGTGCTTTATTAAAAGTTCAAGATTAAACGCTTACGTAAAGAGAACAATTATTTTTTTCTTCTGTTGACACGCAAGTTGACTCTCCTGACCCACATTATTGATTTTCAAACGTTTTTGTGGGAATTGGTCGCGGACTGAGATGGAGAGAAAATTATTGTCCACCTCAAATACTGCCTGACAAAAACTTGTAAACGAAAATTAAGATCTTCACCCAAGAAAGCTTAACTTAATTATTTCAAATTCATGGGTTGAAATTTTTTCAAATTTTGGTGACCGAAGCGAGAATATGGAATGTACACGAACACGGCATAATTTTCAAAACTAGAAAGGTCGCAGATTTAGTTACACTTTACATAAGTATTGAGTTTGATTCTGAGATAAGTTATCGAAAAACCATTTAAGTGCAGGTCCATCTAAATATTTATTTTTAAGAACCTAAGTTTCTATTAACATTGAATAATGTAAGAAATGCTTAAAAACAATTCAACACAGTTTGGCTTCAACGCAACCCAACTTGCGCTCTGCAGATAAACCTCTGTTTGGCGTTGTTCTTCGTTTTCAGCCCTGTTTTTTGTAAACTCCGAAGTCAGCTTTGCCCTCCTCAATAAAATGATGAACTATAATATGTTGTTTTGTTGTACCACACAAATAATCCGTTAAACTGTGATGCTTCTTTCCTAGTCGTGTTGTATTTAGAATACCTTTGAAGGCAACGAAAGATGCTAGACATTTCTGGGATAAATCATGATTTTAAGTCACGATTTTGAACTCTCCAGAGCTATATGAAGTACGTGTTTTTGACGGTCTTCAAACGATACAACGCGAGCGTTTTTAAAAGAGAGATTTGTTCTTTGCGAGCACTGACAATATTATTGATCAACTTACCCCTTGAGTATTATGCCAGTCTTCTAAGGTGTTTAGGTACAGAACAAAAACTAAACCTACCTCAGCTTCAAATGTTTCTAAGCCGTGTCTCGATCCGCTATAAACAATTGCTCAACAACTCTAAATGTACAAGCGGCTCAAATTTTGTTTTCAAGAAGAACCCCGATGATTCAGTTCCTAAAGGGTTTGAATTGCTGTTTTGTTTTTCTATTTTGTCTCTCTTTGAGTGCCGCTGAAAACAATTTTAAAATGCATTCTTTATTCGTCTTATTACAGGTGCTCAAGACCGCCGTTAATAAATCCAACCAATACTAGAATTCTCCATGTTGCGTTGTTATTGTATATGGCGGCAAAGCTTTTAATAATATCACGAAGCTTTTAATAATATCTCAGCCCAACTTTGAATGTTTGCCCAACCGATATCGATCTACGATGAATCGCGTTTTCGCCTAGATATATTTAAATTTTCAAATCACATGTCCCATCTAAAGTCCTTAATTTTAAATAGTGAAGTTTTTTCTTTTCAATTCGTGGCGTCAGTAAGTGTCAAAGAAGTGTCAAGAGAAGAGACAAGATAAGGAAGTCTTTTATTTTACCGTATATTCATTATGTTATATTTGTTTAAGTTATGTTTTTTTGATTTGTATCAGGTATGATTTCAAGCCCAGTTCAGTTCACAGAAATCTCCTCTTAATGAAAAACAGCGGAGTCCAAGGGCTCCGATGCCTTTATTTTGTTTCAATTTGTTATTAGTTGTTGCAATTGAAGCACATGACGCTAATAAGAGATTCTTTTTTTGGACAAGTTTCCCATTGTCTCTATTGTTTTAGATCGACATCGAACTTGAATCTTAAATTTTGATTTGAGGCCATCTACACCTGGCTGTTAATGAACTGCTGAGGAGCTGTTCCGACACAAATCCACTGATTTATTTCACAATCAAAACAAATATAGCCGCTCCAAAAACCTTCCTAAATTGTAGCATGCTACCGAACTCAGTAGCAACCTACATTGTCGGATTTATTTTAAGAAAAATACTTTTGTTTTCTCAAATTGTGAAGTTCCAGTGTGAACTTTCTTCGTCTGCTGAAGAAACGATTGCAAGTTTATTTCACTCTTTTCAAGCCTACTAATCTAGTCCGAAAAGCCTTTCTTGCAATCTTACAATTTTCCTGGCTTCCCGATGAGGAGGGAAACGAGTGAATGGGACACAGTGGAGAGGGCTGTTCGATCTTCTGTAATTTTGTGAGTAATTCATAAAGGACTCATTCAAGCCCAATCGTAGTTTTTGTTGTGAAACCAAAATCAAAGTTTGTCGATCTGTCCAGTAATCAAGAAAAACTCAAAGAAGCGAACGAACGAATAACTTGAATGAATTGCGAACGAGCGAAGCGTGAGACAACAGGTCAGGTCGGTTGGGTTTGATCCTGTTTGGTGAATGATGGGGTGAAACGGAGCTTTCCGAAAGCGATGGCGTCACGATAATCATGTGATTTCCCCGAACGAGTTTCCCTCAAACACAAATCCAAAAAGACCGGTGATTGTTGCGTTTTTGAATTCCTCCGGCGTAGTGTGGACGGAAAACATTTGATGCGTTTTCAGAGTGAAACTTCCGCTTTCAAATTCCTCCGGCGTGGTGTGAATGGGGCCTGAGACTATGATAGGGTAAATTCTCTGAACAGGAGGAGTTTATTACAACTTTAAGTTTCTGGGAGGCCTATTTTCAATTGTGAAGTGTTTCCTTATTGGCATGGAAGATATGCATGTATTTATGGGTTTTACAACACTGATACGTTTATTCCATATAGGAAACCCTTAACCTTCACGTCCCCGTTAATTTTCAACCATAAGAAGACATGAAAGTGAATTTAATTTTAATCTAGCTTCACTGAGAAACATGGTCATTAATAATCGTACACATAATCATCTCTTATACAGCGTTCTAATCTATAAATCAATAAATAACTAACCTTAAATAGCTGTGTCGTTCATTTTATATCATACATCTTTGATACAAATAGAAAAAGACCCCACAGTTCTAAGTTAATGCATTCTTCACCCAAGATCTTCACTTTTTTGAGCAAAAGACGACAGCTCTAAGGACGTGAATAGCCTTAGGTTATGAACGCGTTCTTTCAGTTTAGTGTATATCGCCGAACACTGTTCGTCTCGTCCTGGAGGTACAGTCTAACTTCCACTAATATAACGACCACCTCCCTACAACGGCCGCCTTTTTTTTGTCCCGGCGAACAGTCCATATCCTCACTCTTATTTTAACCTCTCTACAACGGCCAACTCTCCACAACGGGAACGGCCACTAACGTGCGTCCCAACTGCCAAAATAGGCCTCTCGACAGCGGCATGTTAATCAACGACTGACGAACGGTGTATTGAAAACCTAATATTTTGTTTTGTAAAAGGGCACCAAACTTGATCCGTACCGCGCGTCCGTGCTAAATAAAGCATTAAAAAAAAAAAGAAATGCACCCCTCGAAAAAAAACCAGGTGTCATTACACCCCTGCCTCCACATAACGGCCACCTCTCTACAACGGCCACTATCCTCTGTAGCCAAGGTGGCCGTTGTGGAGAGGTTCGACTGTAAACATAATCCACAATTGTAAATGTCGACGCTTAATCTAACTCTAGGTCAGGGATATTAATGTCACTCCTTCTGGATTAGTTTCCTTCGCAGTCAATTTTCGGACTACTGCAGGATGAAATACTCTTGCGTATCTCCTACACTGCTCTAAGAATTTGCCAACACACGACCCAATTTACATGCACACTTTGGTGGATATCGAGTGGGCGTCTTCATTTCTTCGCACACTGATAAAATCCAACGTAACTCTCTGATCATTTTACACCTCACACACAAAAAAGCCGGGCAGTTGTAAATGAAGACACACAATTTATGATAAAGATGGAATGTTGCCACGAGCAAAGGACCTCCCATGACCTCCCAGATACCGGTTGCTGATCCTAACAGTTGCAGAACGCGTGCCACATATGAACCTAGTAAAATGGCCTAGTTCACAGTGAGGCTCTCTGTAGCTCAGTAGTTACGGCACCTAACCGGTATCTGGGAGGGCAACATTTCATCTTTATCATTTATTCATCGAGTTGCAAATTTGCTATCTCTCATTTATCACACACATTTTACAACGACTTTAAGCCTATAACACATGAAGAAAGTGACCCTCCCCATGTGATTAGTGCATCATAAGCTGATCGTCCTGACCAGCAACTGCTGAACACTAGCCCTGCATGATTAGCCTTGTAATTCTCCACTTTCTATCTTATATAATCTGTAACATTTTGTTTTATGTACTGATATGCACAACCTAAGAAACTCGCGGATAAGCGCAATAAAAGTTCTAAATAAAACTAAACAAAAAAGTGATTAGTCTTTCGTTTAAACCATCAATATGAAGTTGGTATCGTTAATGTCAACCGGCTTTTCTTTTTGTAGAGTAGGGCCGATCTCAATGTCAGCAGTATTTTCAAACGAGGCTGACAGATCTTCTGATTCATTGGAGCTTTCGTAACCAGCGTTTTCTTTTTCTCTGGAAGGTGGTAGCTCATTTTGTAGCGACATTTTTCCAGGGCTCTGCCGTAAAAAATAAACAGAAATATATTTACTGGAAGCCACTAGGTGGATTTTTGCCTCCGTCAGCCGGTCATGCAGCCCTATTAGTGATTTGGATCCCTAGGTAAATTTACTTGACTACTAAATAATAAGGTAAAACCAGGTAAGATCTGCGTCCGGCCAAACGGCCCACACATTCCGCCGGAGCTTATCCCTGAATATTCCTTCTCCCCTTGGATGGGATGCTAGTTCATCAGAGGGTTAACCCCAGCATTTAATTCGCCGGTACCCATTTATACAACCGGGTGGAGTGAGGCACTGTGAGAGTAGTGTGTTACACAAGAATACAACAAAATGAGCCGGCCTGGGCTTGAACCCAGACCAGTCGATCCGGAGTCCAGCGCTGTGCCTCCACAGTGTTCACCGGGTGCTAGATAAAAATTGTACATTTAACAGTAAAGATATTTCTGTCAAAGATTGCGACACTACGTATCGGGACGGTTCCGTCATCGTTAGGCCTCAGGTGCCGTTACCACGGAGATTACACTTACCAACTCTTTTGGAAGCTCCTCCATTTCTACTTCGTCATGATCAGCGGTCTCCCCACTGAACGTGCCGTCACTGAAAGCAATAAGGTTTCCGACGGTGTCTGAAATGAAAAGAAAAAAAGGTTTGTGAACACGGTATAACGAGTGCCACCTGGAGTCTAGACGATTTTTCTCCAAACATGCACGTTACATTTGATACATATAATGGTCGATCTCGACATTATATTTGTAGCTTTTGTCTCATACCTCGGCCAGCTGTTGGCGGCAAGATGAGGGCCTGACTGGGATCCACATTTACATAAGGTTGTTCTTCCTTCTGCAGGTCGAATAACTCTTCCCTCAGGTTCTGGAACGAGGGGCGCTCCTCACATTCACGTGACCAGCAGGCGAGCATGATCTGGTAACTATGGAAGGATCCAGTGAAAACTTATCAGGAGAACGTATATGCTTTACCAGTTCTATCCCAGTTTCATGTAAAGCAATGATTATTATAAAAAGTATTATGTTATATCAGGCTATAAACTCGTTTATCAGGCCGAAGACCATTTGAACCTTGCCTACAAATTATTATTTTATAAGCTAATCAACTCAAGGCAGAAGCCAGCGCCAAGCGCGGGAAATCATGTAACGAGCGGCAAGCGCGGGAAATCATGCAACCGACAGCAAGCGCGGGAAATCATGTAACGGGCGGCAAGCGCGGGAAATCATGTAACCCTCCATGCAACCGACGCCAAGCGCGGGAAATATCTTGTGTACCAAACTCATTTGCGCCTTAGGATCGAGACGAAAACTGGCTTGTGGGACCGTTATTAGAGACAAAACAAAAGATGAGAAGTCATAACGGTACCACAAGGAACTGCGAGACGAGACTCGCCTCAGATTTCTTCTCGTTTTCAAAGTGGCTAATTGAAAAGCTTTCATCAAGATAAATTAGAAGTAATTAATACTGATTCACAAAGTAGCAACTGAACGTACATTTCATCGGAGCAGTTGTTCGGTTTCTCCATCCGATTTCCTTCCAGAAGAAAGTTTAACAAGTTCATATCGCTAATTGTTGGATAAGGAAATCCACCTTGAAAGAACAGAAAAAGCGGAAGGCAGTTTTAACTGTTGTCCCAACATTAGGTAAAGTCTGCGCACGAGCCAAGTGGCCCATCAGGCCGGAGCTTATCCCGGTTTCTGTAGCATGAAGCGACTAGGAGTATCTATACTCCCCCCTGGATGGGATGCTAGTCCATCGCAGGGTTACCTCCAGCATTAAGTTCGCCGGTACCCATTTATACACCTAGGTGGAGAGAGGCACTG